GTGAAGTCTGGGTCCTGTAGAGGTGTTTCACTCACTGTGGGGAGGTGGAAGGTTTCCATTTTCATCACTTCAAGACAGTTATGAGGCTCAGTGGCTCCATTATCCTCTCCGCTTTCTTCATTACCTTCATTACCCCCCTCAGCAATTGGGAGGAGAGTGGCCGAGTTCAGGGTTTGGCAACGTAGGAGAGTGACGTTATCAGGAAGTTGGATGGAACACTGTAGTCTAAGATGCCTCGCTGTGGACAAATGTTTAGGTTGGACTCGGTTTAAAATGGCAGCAATGTCATGCGGCGCCTGGAGGACAAGTTCATGTGCCAGAACAATATCAGAGGTCTTATCCAGCAGAGCTTGAGCAGCCCAACATGGGGCTGAAAAAAGTAAGCGTTTTAGAGCCAAAAAGTTGGAGGCGGCCTCTTCAGACAGATGGAAGGTCTCAGACTTGAGAGCATCATAGAGTGGTTGCATACACCAAGAAGCATCAGGAATCCACAACCTGCAGTAGGATATGAGGCCAAGCAAGGCATGGAGTGGCTTCTGGCCCAGAGGCAGTGGCAGGTTCTGGATGGCCTTAACTCTCTCCTCCGTAAGATGCCTTGTTCCATGTGAGAGGCAGTGGCCCAAGAACACAACTGTCGTAGAGCACCATTGCAATTTCGGTTTGGAGGCCTTACAGCCTTGGTGTGCCAAGTAGCATAGTAAGCTCTCTGAGGCTTCTTCAGCCATGGGCAGGTCATCAGCACAGAGGAGAAGGTCATCCACATATTGGAGAAGGACCTCTGCTGGATGTTCCTTTTGCCACGTGTCCAATATGGTGGTCATGGCTTTGGTGAACTGGCTCGGAGAATTTTGCGCCCCTTGTGGCATAACTGCCCAGGTGTATTGCTGCCCCTCATGGGTAAAAGCGAAGAGGTATCTGCAGGAAGAATGCAAGGGAACGCTGAAGAATGCATTTGCCAGGTCCAACACAGTGAAGTACTTTGCTGCTGGAGGTACCCCTGTGAGTAGAGTGTGGGGATTTGGGACGATAGGTGTCTCTAAGACAGTGGCTTCATTCACTGTTCGGAGGTCCTGTAGCATCCTGTACTTCTCTGGTTCCCCTTTGGGTGTCTTCTTTTTCACCGGGAACAAAGGTGTGTTACATGGAGAGGTACAAGGTATGAGTGCACCATTTGCCACAAGGGACTTGACCTGCTTTGAGATGGCCTCAGATTGCACTGGTTTCAGTGGGTACTTTGGTTTCCTGGGTAGGGGAGCTCCAGGCTTCAGTTCCACCATAACTGGGGGTACCTTTTAAATGTCCAATATCTTCGGGTCCTGTGGACCATAGGCAACTTGGGATTCTACTCAGCACATCTGCTGGGATGGTGGTGGTGGGGTCTCTTGCAGTGCCATCAGAAGGGGAATGGAGCACAGTGCAGACATGTCTTTCTTCTTCTAGTGCTGATGAGATGACCACCTTGCCATCAGGAGTGAATGTGATAGAGGCCTGGAGCCTAGATAGCACATCAGCTCCCAGGAGATTCAGGGGACACGTCGAAGACACGACGAACCGGGCCAGCAAGTCTGGGAATGGACCAACCTGTAAAAGTCGGGTAAGAGGATTAGACCGTGGGGTTCCATCTACCCCCACATAGGATTTGTCTATGTCAGAAAGGTATGAGTGGTCTGGTAGGTCTGATCTGATCACGCTCCTGGCTGCACCTGTGTCAATTAGAAATGTCGTTGGGTGCCCTTCAATAGGTAAGGTCACTTTTGCTAATGGGCCCCCTGAACCCGCTGAAGACACTGCCAAGATAGGGGATGACACAGGCTTGCCCACTTCCTAGCGCAGAAGATCCAGGTGATCCGCACTGGGCCCAGGGGCTTGATGTTGCTGTTGTGACTGTTGCTGGTTATGTGTGTCCTGATTCCACTGTGGCCATCGACGTCTGGGAGGGGCTCTGCAGTTCCTCTTGTAGTGCCCTGGGCGGCCACAATTGAAGCAAATGGGCTTATTTTCTTCTGAGGCCGTTGGCCAGGTGTGTGTCCAGGGGTCTGCTACCATAATAGGAGTGGACTTCTTGGTAGCTTGTGATGATTCAAGGCCTTTTGCCACCAACAGCAGAGTGTCTAAGGGCACCACACGATATTCAGGCCTAGCCATGATAAGACCCTTCCGTATTGGTTCCCTCAGCCCCGCAACAAAGGCTGATGACAGCATCTGATTATGGGCTTTGTTGTATGCGCTGAATACCAGGTCTGAGAAGACCTGGGACAATCTGGTATAGAGTTTTTCTACTGACTCTGCCTTATCTTGGGTAATATCTTGAAGGGTGGTGGCTTGATCGGCCAGTCCTTTCTTTGACCCAGTCATGCAGTTGTGTACAAAATTCCAGTCCAGAGGAGAAGGCTTTGTCATCGACAAGCCAGGTGTCGTTAAGGCTTCGTGCCACTATTGGCCAGTATGAGTCTCCTGCCTTTATCTCACACAGGCTGACTAGGTCTCTCCAGGCTGCCGAGTATGTCTTTTGGATCTGAGCCATCCTGCAATAAAAGGGCATGGGCTGCTTTTCAGGGTCTGGCAATGTGATCACCAGGGAAGAAGCCTGGGACAGTGTAAAAATAACATATGGCACCGGTGCATCTGCCAGGGTGTGCAGTCTTCCTGCCTGAGGAGTCCTTCCTGTCTCCTGTGGCCTAAGAGGGGCATCTGGAGAGGCATATGCGGATAGCATAGGAAGTTCCGGACCTGCGGCCTCCTCATCCAAAGAAGATATGTCTGACCAGGTTAACCCTGAGTGCAAATGTTTGCTCCCTTTTGGTCTATTGGGGACAAAATTGTCTCTCGCGGGACCAGCGGTCGTGTCAGGTTCAAGGACTGGCATGGTGGGGACACGCGGCACTTCCGGTGGTACGTAGAATGTACCATCGGCTTGTAAGACCGGAGACACTGGGTAGAGGCGGCTCACTCAAGGCATAGGCCCTCCGGATGTCTGATTTGGTGTACCAAAATGGCCGCCTCCAGGAAGTGTACTGGGCTGGACAGGAAGTGACAATGCAGGTGCAGCAAAATGGCTGCCTTTAGGAAGTGCACTGGGCTGGGCAGGAAGGGCAGAGGAGAGGACGGTAGACGAACCTCTGACCCATCTCCTGTCTCTGGTCTTCCTAAAAGAAACCCAAGACTCTTCACACGCTGCTGTTCACTCTGTTCACAATCTTCCAGCTGTTCTGGTTGGCAGGGGCACCTTTCAGTACCGTGCCCCTCCCTTCTCGCCTCTTCTATCTGCTGAATTGATTTCCCAATTCCCCCCTTTACAGGGTAATGCACATTAAGGCGGAAAACTAACACTTCAGGCAAATCAGAAAACAAAGGACGACGTCCTAAAAGTACCTGACTATATCCTACCTATGTAACCTTTAACAAACCGCAACCGTCGTCATGAATGACAAACATTAAACCAGACACACATTTAGGACATGACATATCAGGCTGTCTCGGTGGGCTAGAGTACAGATCACTGAGTAACCCTTCGCAACCCACACGGCTACAGCACCCCGCTGTCACACTACCCTGACGCGTACACGATACCTCCTCTTGTTTGGCAACACACAATATTACCACAACCAAGAGAATGTGTCAAACCCTCAGTAGGTCCACTCCTCGTCCACCTCAAGACTGACACATAAAAACAAACACAAAAAAAAAAACATAAAACCAGGCAGCAGATAATCACATGCAGTTATGTTCAAATAAACTCAAGGCAAGCAATGTTACCTGCCTTAAGTGACCGTTTTGCAGCCGCACTAGGCACAGGAATGAACCAACAACAAGGACTGGATAAGCACTGGTAAGATAGCAAAATATATCTTACCATGCTCTGAGAGTTGATCAGGCTCTTACAGTCTGCTTTGAGTGATCCCTGCCCTCTCGGGTTGGCTGTCCGGGGGTTCACGACCCAGAGTTCCCGGGTGTCGGCACCAGCTGATTTAGATGAGGACTAAATGTCTGGTGATTATCTGCTCCTGTCCTAATTAATCTTGCTGGCTAGCTAAGGAATGTGCGCACATAAATAAACTCACACTTACACGTTTGGTCTGTGAAAACTTCTCTAATTTATTGAAATGAAAAAGTGAGTTTATATATGCAAAATGATGCGAACATCACATGAGAACAGCATAAGCATATTATAGTAGTCTTTGATTGGTCACTCTACACAAAAACAATCTTCTTCAGAGTATAGGCGTGATTTTGACCGATGTCTTATCTATAGAAAGAAAAATATTCCTTTGTCTTCAAGTTGGCTCGAAGGGAGGGGTTGTTGAGCAGACAATCCGTGAGCAACGAGGACTACAAAGACCAGCAGACAACAAATATACACACAACACATATATATATTCATACAAAGCATTTAGAAATATAAAAAATATAAAAGTTGATATATATATAGAAAAAAATGTATATATTCAACAAGAAACGTAATAGACATTTTACCATATCCATCACAGAAGCATGCTTAGTGCTTTGCTCACTTAGACAATGCAGAGAATGTTCAACAGAATAGCTGTAAAGGGGGCTTCCCCAAGCAGATGAACATAAAATACAAGGCTACACACACTTTTATAGGGGGGTGAATGGTTTGTGGTGTGCATAGTTATTATAATTATTCTTTTTTTGGAAATGTTTGTAGTGCCTCATGTCCAAATCAGTCCGTGTATGTGCATGTATGTATGCCTGTAAGATAGGGACTATAGATTGTAAGCTCCTTGAGGGCAGGCTCTGACGTGAAGGCACAGTATGTAAAGTCCTGCATAAATTGTCAGTGTGATATATAAATACCTGTAATGAATAAATATATGTATAATGCATTCCTGAAAGTGTAATAGGTTATGCAGCTTTCTTGAGTTCTTTAGCAGTTGAAAGTGACCTGTATGACATATTGTTTGCATAATGGACAGGAACCACTAATGCCATTGACTTTTTATTATCTGTAGTAATGCTGGACTTTTTATGCATTTCAGAAATGCAGAATCCCAGGAAGGAAATGGTTGATCAGCTGCACAACGTCTGTGCTCTGGGCGATACTACTAAGCTGCTTGCTCTTCTAAGTCATTCATCCTCAATCATTAATGAAACGGCTGAAAATGGATGGAGTGCTCTTATGTTTGCAGCTAGGAATGGCCACTTTGATGCAGCGAGGATGCTGCTGGAGAAAGGGTAATTACAAGTCTTACTTTTTACATTTCTTCTCAGACAGGCCTATTAGATGCATTGATGGAAACATTCAGCGCCTTTTTCCCATTCAGGTTTCAGCTATTCATTTCTACAGAACCTTGTGCTTGAAAGGATCCCAGCATCAGAACTCCCAGGCTTGACATCTTTTAATTATACCTGAGTATGGTTCAAGCATGCTGATTGCTTGGAATGCTTGCTGTTGCTGAGTGACAAATCCCACTTTGCCATCTTTTGACCATCAATTTAAATGTGTCTTTCACTCTCCTGTGCCATACAAAGCACTGACTGTATTATAATCTGCGATGCCGTGTATGCCTGGGGAAAAAAAACAAAAAGAAAAATCAGCACAGGCACATCTCAGCAATACATTCACATTGCCTTATGTTTTGTCTATTTACAAATGCAGTCAGAAATACACTTCTCTCCTATAGTAAGCTGACAACAGAGTGTCAATGCTGGACTGAAATTCCTAGCAATGTTGTTAGACCTGCCCAGTTCTTCCCTCAGTCTACAGAACACATCCCCCATATGTTATGTAGATAAGGAAAAGGTCCAAGAGAGAGAACTCAACAGGGCTGACAATCCTGCTTGGGATTTAAATACAGTAGAGGAACCTTGTTAGCTCAAACAGAAAATAAGGAGCACACTGGATTTCACATCAGCAGGTCATGTACTTTCAGCATTTTAAAAGGGACAAAATATGGGGAAAATGTGTAATTATTGCAGATATGTATATAATTTTTTTACAGTTTACTTCGTCATACACTAAATTGGTATAATGTATTTGAAATAATTATACCAATTCTTAGTTAACCTCTTCACGCCGGCCGCACACAAATGTGCTGCCTCCCGGCTTCTGGGCCTAGACGCCGAGCGGCCGCACATTTGTGTTCTATTAAAAAAGGACATATGTGCCGATAGAGCGCGCCCTGCGCGCTCCCAGCACGCATGTCCGGTACTCACGGTACTTCCCGATCATGTGACCGCCGTGACGACCCAGATGGTACCAAGTCCCTACTGTTTTTCATAAAATGTTCCCTGCCTCTTTCAGTGCATGTTGGAGATGCAATCAACACCCAGGTACACTTCTGAACATATTTTGGGAATTTCCAGATCCGAAATGTTTCTGACTAAAAGTCACTGAACTCCTTTACAAAATTGTCAGTGCCCTAATAGATCTGCAAACCTATAAACGTATCCAGATCTACTGATTGTGAGTGCATTGCTCTTACAGGCTCCTCATGAAAAAAAAAAATAATAAAAGAATATTTTTTACCTGCAAACAATGTGCATTTACTTTTTTTTTTTTTTTTACACAAAAGTGAATGTAGCTTTTAACCACTTGGCAACCGCGCTATAGCCGAATGACGGTCCAGTCTTGGGAAGGTGTCCTATGATGTCCTCCCAGAACGCGCCCTCCCGTGCACCCCCAGCAGCACACACCCAGCAATCTCCATGATCGCTGTATCCTATGGACACAGCTGATCACGTGATGTAGTATAAGGCCAATTACAGCAGCCTTTTACCACATGATCAGCTGTGTCCAATGACATGTATTTACCCATGTCCAATGACATGGGTAAATACAGTTGCCGGTTATCGACTGCACTTTTCTCACGCTTTAACAGCGTGAGGAAAGTACTGCCGATAACCAGCAAATGTGACAGAACAGATTGGCACTGATCATCATCCCAAATGCCACCCACCAGTGCCCAGCAGTGTCACCCATCAGTACCACCAATCAGTGCCCAGTAGTGCCACCCACCTGTGCCCATCAGTGCCTAGCAGTGCCACCCACCTGTGCCCAGCAGTGCCACCCACCAGTGCCCATCATTGCTGCATATCAGTGCAGCACCATCAGTGCCACCTATCAGTGCTGCCTATCCGTGCCACCTCATCAGTGCCCATTAGTGCAGCCTCATCAATGCACATCAGCGAAGGAGAAAAATTACCTGTTTTCAAAATCTTATAATAGAAACAAGGAAAAACTTTTTTTTTCAAACTTTTTGCTCTTTTTTTTGTTTATAGTGCAAAAAATAAAACACCCAGCAGCAATTAAATACCACCAAAAGAAAGCTCTATTTGTGTGAAAAAAATTATACAAATTTCATATGGGTACCATGACTGCACAATTGTCATTCAAAGTGCGACAGAGCTGAAAGCTGAAAATTGGCCTGGGCACGAAGGGGGTATAAGTGCTTTGCCTTCCAATTTTTGTATCACTAACCTGAAATAACTAGGTCTGTAAGTCACTCATTGAGGGAGATGTTATATGTTTGCCACCCTTTTGCAATACAACTCAGAATAAGGCTCACACCTTGTGTCCAGGGTTAGAGAGCAGTTTTAGAATCACGTGTTACATTACTTACTACCTGCATACTGAAATACAAACCATAATCCCAGCTAAATAGGCAGAGGAAATTGTTCTGTATTACAAAGTTGTTCAGGCAGGTAAACCACATTTGTTTTCACAGGCCAGTTTCATTCTGTAATTTTAGCTTAGCTTGGACCTACTGTATATAATAATTTCTATACCATATCTGGCCAATGCCCCAGAAGCTGGAAATCACTGAAGAAGACACCGCGACTCTAGTGATCTCCACTTGGTTCCATGCTGAGCTGCTGGCCTGATGCAGTGTGAACACAGGAAGTTGCCGATCAGCACAGTCACCATTCAGAGAATGCTTTGCATTTTAAGAATGAATGCAAAGCATTCTCTGATCGGGTAAGGTGGAAAGCATGATGTCAACACCCCATCTTTCCACCTTGTCCATTCAGTGAACGCTTTGCATTCATTTAGTAAATGTAAACAATTACCTGGCCAAGCTGCCAACCTTCTGTATTCACAGTGCAGGAGAGCAGCCGCTCTGCACAGAACCCAGAAGCAAGTGGAGACCACTAGAATAGTGATGTCTACTTCGGTTCTTTTTAGCTTCCAGAGGCATTGGCCCGATATGGCACATACATAGTTGGTCTAAGCTGGACCAGTGTAACTATGTAGAACTTACCGCTGCCTGGAATTATTCTTTAAGTCATTACAATAAAATAATTAATCAGGAATTAGAATACAATGCATTTTTTCAGGTCACTCTGTTACATTCTGTAAAATACATAAATGGACATTCAGCCTTTTTATGAATGTAACAGTCCTAACTCTTGATATACAATCCTGTATATGAGTATATGGACCCTATAGATAACTAGATAAAGCAAGAATCAGATTGGTTGGCATAGCTAAAGCTCCCTTTTATTTCTAACCCTCAGAATCACAGACAACCTTACAGCAAATCTGTGCTGTGTGGATGCAGGCTAAATGAGCAGGTTTAATATTCCCACAGCCAGCAGCATATGCTCACTTTTGCTCCACTGCCCTACTGCTCTATTCAGCCACTGCCAGCCAAGAAAGGAAGCCCTGTAAGCTCTGAGTCTCTCTAGTCGGCCTACACAAGGATAAAGACTCTTCCCCCACCCTCAGGTCAAAGCACTGGCTAATCACCAATCACCAGCACTGTCACATGAATGGAAGGGAAATGAGTCACACGATCCTCGATACATGCAAATACCTTATTTATTTTCCAAGCAGAGGAATATACCAATGGAGAAGTGAAGGAAAGGTAAGTATGTGCAGCTAGGGCAGTGGTCTCCAAACTGCGACCCTTTGCTTGCTTTTACCCAGCCCTTGGGGCACTATTTCATCCACTGACACTAACAAAGGGGCACAATTTCTCTCAATGATACCAACAATGGGGCACATTTCCTACCAATGATGGGGCACATTTCCTACCAATGACACCAATGCTGGGGCACATTTCCTACCAATGAAGCCAATGATGGGGCGCAATTTCTACCAATGACACCAATGATGGGGTACAGTTCCTACCAATGAAGCCAATGATGGGGCACAGTTCCTACCAATTACACCAACAACGAGGCCAAGTGACAGCATTGATGGGGCACAATTCCTCCCATCAATGCCACCATCAATGTGGCACAGTTCCTCTCACTGATAGTGTCATTATTTACTCCCACTAATGCTAACTAAGGACTTCTACTCCTGATGGCCATGGTGGCCATGATGGCCATGGTCAAGCCCCTCTAAAGGACACTAAGCTGACCCTTTGTTTACAAAGTTTGGAGACCCCTGTGCTAGGGTATGAGTGTTTTTGTGTGTAGTGTACAGCATTTTTCTGTAGCAGGTTTTAACACATTTCTATATTCATTTCTAGGTGTGACAGAACATTAGTGAACAAATCAAGGCAGACTGCATTGGACATTGCCAAATTTTGGGGTCACAAGCACATTGTTGATTTGCTCACACAGTCTAAAGGTGGCCCAAAGCCTTACTTTTTACAAAATGCCAAAGAGGAACATGAAAATTATTTTAGCAGTACATTTTTGGACCGAAAAAGTGATAAACGGACAGACAGCAACTGGTTAAAATACAAACAGACACAGGCCAGTTCCATCTACCTTATTTTCTCCAGCTTGAGTCCTTTAGTATCTTTAATTGGGGCTAAGGATAGTGTACAGGAGCCAGAAATCAAGCTCTGCAGACTACAGTACGAAGATGTGAAAGAATATCTGTCAAAGTCCGATGTGGTCTCATTAATTTTTCTTGGTGTAGATAAACAAGTCAATAATCCATGCTCTACAGAAGCCGAGAAACGTGGGACAGAAGAGGATGACGGGCTGGTTGCCTGGTTTGCTCTTAATATGAACAATATTTCTGCAGAACAGTTTTAATCCCCCATATAAAGAAAGTATGAAAGCTGCTATTTCCTCCAACCTCCAATGCCTGCCTTGTTGCAGCTGACCAGTACAGAAGCAGGTAAGGTGACATGCCTGGCAGTCAGTGTTTTTTTAGTCTCTGCATCTTTCAGTATTGTAAACGTTTGTCTTTTAGCTGGCCCACAAAATATGCCCATTTCATTTCAAAAACATAAGAGGAGTGAAGGAGAGGGCAATCATTGGAAATACAAGAGCCAGGTGGCTGCATTGGACTGAGGGAGGGTGGGCATGTTCGAAACATGATGAGAAAAGATCAACTGTTCATCCCGGACTCCTAGCTTATGGAACAAATACAACGTAAAGTGGTCTATTTATAAAACTTTCATTGGACGAATGTCGCACAGCTGCGTAATTTCTGTAATAGATTCATTTCTATGAGCATCAGCTCAAACTCGTGGCCAAAATGCAGTATAGTTTTCTAAAATACCTCAATGAGAAAATATGCTGCATTTTGGCCACTAAATGGAGCTAAGGATCATTGCAGGGCCTGACAAATTTGCTTTGAGTCTAGGAGCCAGCCAAAAAAGTTGGGAGCCAGGTTTTTCTTTTAGCATAGCGTGGGTTGTCAGCACCCGGGACTTCACGCGATGCGATTTGCCACACAACAATCACGACAAACTCCGCACCATGCTTTAGGCGCCATTGAAAATAATGGCGCCTGAACCTGCGTTTTACGAGCACAACGATTCTGCTGCAATCCCAAAATGCCCAAGTGTGACTGGAGCTGCCCTGTTTCTGGATTTGTTTTGAAATTCACAGATTCACATGACAAGCTAGATATTTTGTGTTCTTATTGAGGTGGTTCACATAGATGCGATCCACACGCATTGTGTTTTGAGTGCCATTATGAAAAGGCTCCAGTGCAAGTTTTTAACGGTGCAATCTAGACAAGAGATAGAGTAGAGTGGCATGCAGAGATAAGTGTTCACATAGGATTGTTATTGACAAGAGTTTTCGCATTGAAGTCTATGGGAGGCGTTTTTGTATTGACGTCTATGGGAGGCGTTTTTGCATTGACGTCTGTGGGAGGTGTTTTCACATTGAAGTCTATAGGCACAACTTCCCATTGAAGTCTATAGGTTGCGACATCACTTTGAAGTCTATGGGTTGCGACTTCACTTTGAAGTCAATGGGTTGCGACTTCACTTTGAAGTCTATGGGTTGCGACTTCACTAAAGTCAATGGAAGGCAGTGTGTGAACCCAGGCTCCAGGACACAATTTCTAATTGCTATGGCGGCTTGGCGTTTGGGATTTGTCAAGCCCCGATCATAGGATTTCAGAAATGACAGCCAAATTACATCTGTGCATCCTGCATAAATGTTTGTTTTTTTCATTTTAGATAGAATGGTGAAGGCTTAGATCTTCTGCAATGTTTTTATCACTGTCTGTGTCCCTCTTTTATTTGTTTTGGTGACTACAGTCACTGTAACTAAGAGAGGGGAAATCCAAAATTTTGGAATTGTCACCAAAGCAAACAGCAAGAGTAAATGTTCAGGGGAACAACAGTGACAGGTATCTAAAAGGGGAAAACCTATTGTTTTCACTTTCTGTTGCATCTTTGAGACAGAAAACAAAGGGAAAGTTTCCCAGTAGTACACGAACAGCAAAAATAAATAAACTGACAGGGATTTTAACTATTCTGTACTCTCTTCAATCTCCAAAACTAAAAAAAGAGGTTTTGGCTACATATAGTGGATTATTTACTAAAACGGCATGGTGCTAAATTTGGTGCAGCTCTGCATAGAAACCAATCAGCTTCCAGGTTTTATTGCCAAAGCTTAATTCAACAAGTTAGAAGCTGATTTTCTACCATGCACAGCTGCACCAGATTCTAAGGGTTCCAGTTTTAGTAAATCCCATACACTTTAAATATAAAGATACGTATGAAATGTTCATATAGCCATTATAGGTTGATTTGTTTTCCTTAGTATAAACTATCAAATGAATGGTCTGATTTTATAAAATCAGTATTCCTTTTTTACAGAACCAGCAAATTTGTCCTTGTTTTAAACAACCTGTCATATTCAAAGAAAATATTTTTTATTTTTTTTTAAGAACCCGAATGGATGTCTGATTTACTCGACCAGCATGACAGTTATTCCCTTGTAGCCCAATTTCTGTTTTATGAAATGTATCTTTTATTACTTTACTGACTAACAAGGAGTACGTGTACACCATACTTACATGGCTAGCAAAAGAGAACCAGTCATGACTTATTCAAACAATCTGAAAATTCAGTCTTAAATTATTATAATTTTGTAGTTTTACTCACATGCAGTTGATTTTTACATGTACTTTCTGAGTTATACTCTTCAATTTGGAAGCTGGTCACTTCAAGTTTGATAGTATCCCAACTGCTTAACATTAGATAATATCTTCAGCTTCCATACGTGTAGAATGCATTATGTTTCTTCTTTGGTGTGTATCTGTACATGCCATCTACACAATATGAGGTGCAACAATTTAATTCCCGGAATGTACTGTAAAAAAGATGTTTGCTTACCTATATATTAGCAGTTGTCACATTCAAAGTAGTCTCCTTGTGAAACAATGCACTTTTCTAGATGATGGAGCCACTGCCAGAAACATTCCTGAAATTCATTTTCCAGACTGCTGTGCAGTATCTTTATCATGGCTCGCTGGATATCCGAAATGTCATCAAATCTGTGTCCTTTTAAGGCATTTTTTTCATCTTGGAAACAGCCAGAAGTTGCAGGATACTAAGGCAGGAAAATAAAAGTGGTTGGTCAAGTTTCAGAATGGATTTCTGGGCCAGGAACTCACAAACACTTAACGCATCATGTGCAGGAGCATTGTCATGGTGGAGAATCCACTAGTCATGCCAGAATTCTGGTCTTTTTTTTCTCCAGATTCACGTAACCTTTTCATAAGTTCCAATTAACAATGTTGGTTGACCGTTGTGTCATCATGAACATCTTCCCGCCCCTCCATAAACAGCCTGTGCCATTCAAAAACACTTAATTTCATCATGGAATGTTACCCTAAAGCCTGTTATAACAGAGCTAAAGCTTCACTCACACTTTTGCCAATTTTTACACTAAGTTTAATGGTAATCCACTTCTCCAGATTCCTATCACTCATCTTTCACCAACAGCGCAATGCACAAATGTGTTATTTCTTCTACTACTCCGTAAAGACTGAGTCAACTGGTCTGCGACCCAAGCAAGTGCAAGATAGAACATGTCAAACACACTTAACTGTGAATGGTTGTGCGACTCACCACCATAGTGCTACGCTGCAGGCGTTCCAGAATTAAATTGTCACACCTCAAACCTATTATTGTTGAGCAAGACAAACAGTAGTTTTCTTTTGCTGGAACTTTGCTGAACTGTTTTTCAACTTTTCAGTTTGTATAACTTGTTTGCATTGGTCTTCAGTATGGGGTTCAGTTAATTGATTCTGCTATTTTCAGAGGCTGGAGGTATGGAGGTTGACAGGGCTGTAACTGTTAGAGCTCGTTCACACCATGGTGCAGAGATGTGAGATTTTCTGCACGCATTTTGCAAGGGTACAAAAAAAAACAATTGGTCTCTATGTGCCCCGTTCACACCACAACACTATTATTACATGTGGATTTTTTTCTGCGCAATAATCTGCAACATGTATAAACCTCACTTAAAGGTGCCTAAAAAATTATGTAAACGCGTGTCTCTGCGAGTTTTCCCATCAGTTTTTTTGCACGTATGTTGTGAACAAGGCCTTAAGTTGATCAGATTCAACAAAAGTAAGTGAAGTTGAATAAAGGGGACAGGATACCAAGGCCCTTTTATAGTTTGTAGCACCATGCAATAGTAAATTCTCTGAGAAATTTTCATCTTTTAGAGATATGTCTGCATTGTTGTAATATTTAAGACAACATTTTCACAATCTTGCATAAGCTAAATCATGACTGGTTCTTTTTAAATTTTTAAAAGTAGAAGAAATATTGGAGAGAACATTTTTCTACAATATCATAAGAAACTCTGCTGAAGAAGAGCTATGCAAGAGTGTGGAAGACAGCCAGTAAACAAATGGGGGAAAAGTGAAGAAGAAAATGTTGAACGGATGACATCCAGGAAATGAGAGGCAGCCATAATACAAGGTAGAATATTAGCCTAGGAAAGTTCACCAAAGACTAAATGGTAGTAGTAATGGTAAAAGTAAGAGCCCTACCTAGATCAGGAATCATAGAAAAGACTCTTCTGTGCCCCTCTCTGATTTAGGTTCACCTGTTAGTAGGGTCTGACTTAATGGCTAACCTCCATCAACTGCCACTTCCCTGTCCAGTGAGGGTGTCCTTCTTGGAACTGTGGCAGTCTTATTTGACAGTGAAATAGCTGGTTCCATGAAAGTCAAACCCCACCAAAAAGGAAACTACCAGAGAGGGTCTGGTCATGTGCTGTTCAAGCTTAGGCAGGCCTTTACTACCAACAGCTAAAAACTGAATGTCAGGTTCACTTTAACAGGTTTCTAAAAGTAATTAATTTATTTTTACAAAAATATCAAACATGTTATATTTACCTGCTCTGTGCAATGGTATTGCACAGAGCAGCCCCGATCCTCCTCTTCTCAGATCCTCTGCAGGTGCTTTGAGCTCCTTCTCTTCATCCAGTGCCCCCATAGGAAGCCTGCACCCATAGACACAGATAGGGGGGCACAGCCCTGTCCCCTGCTCCCTCGTCACAGAGTTTGATTGACAGCAGCAGGAGCCAATGGCTCCCACTGCTATGGATCTGCCCTGTGATTGCCAATAACGCCTGGAGAGTTGCTGCTCTCATGCACAGAGCTGGATCGTGTTGGGACTCAGGTAAGTATAAGGAGTGGGACTGGGGCTTTGTGGGGGAGCTGGATGCAAAAGGTTTTCTACCTTCATGCATGGAATGCATGAAGTAAAAAAAAAACGTCAGCCTTTAGAACCACTTTAAAATCATGATGTATCATTTATTCCTGTTGTATTTGTGTTTTCCAGGGATTCTAGCACAAGCACGATCAATGTTTGCTTGGCACAGTCGATACAAATTCTGCCCAACCTGTGGAGGAGAGACCGTTGTTGAGGAAGGTGGCTATAAGCGGACTTGTTTGAAAACCGGATGCCCTAGTCTGCAAGGTGTCCACAACACATCCTATCCAAGAGTAGGTAAGTACACTAAGTGAGTGCATGTTGTGTTGCAGCACTTTTTAAACGTTGTTTTGCACTGTTAGATGTGGTCTTTATCAACCAAAACAACCCTAAAAACAAGTTCCCTGCAAGTCTTCCCTCTACAGCACCTCCTGTTTTCATTCCCCACTTCATTGAAGCAAGTGTTCAACATTTTTGGAATCATCAGATGCCTGTGTCCTCTGGTGCTAGCTGTGGTTCTATCTCTTGTCAGGTATTAGTCAGTGAATGGGAACATCATGTGGAAGGCCACACAGGCATCCAACACTCCCATGCTGAAGATTCTGATATGCATCCAACACTCCCATGCTGAAGATTCTGACGAAGACTGTAGTACTTCAACTGAGTTTGTATCAAACATAGCACTTAATATTTGAATACAATTACATTTTTTGGGGGGGGGCCAAAATCAGTATAGGGCATATATCAAAACCAGAGCGGACAGAATCTTGAGCAGCTGTCCATGACAACCAACCAGCTTTTATCTTCCGCTTGTTTAGTTAAGCTTTGAAAATAAAAGAAGCTGATTGGTTGCCATGCACAGCTGCTCCAGATTCTTTTTGCTCCTGGTTAAATTCCCCTCAATGTCTCTTTAAAACTTGGGAACAATTGGAGCCCATTAATTTGGGGATCCTTTTGAACAGCATCTAATGTTAAAACTGTACCCCATACACAAGTACAAATACACAAAATGCTTACATCTGTGATATTTTAGCTGCCAAAAGATTTGAAACTCTGTTGAGCCAGTTTTTAAATGTATGCACCTCTGCCCCAATGTACTGGTAGAGAAGTGATACTGTTAGAGGCCTGCTTTTAAAACAGCGCTGTTTCCTAACCAGAGCAATACAGCTGATTTTTTTTTTAACCACTTTAAGTCCGGACACTTTCACCCCCTTCCTATCCTGGCCAATTTTCAGCTTTCAGCTCTATCACACTTTGAATGACATTTGCGCAGTCATGCAACACTGTACCCATATTAATTTTTAGCATTTTTTTTAGACAGATAAAACATTATTTAGGTGGTATTTATTCACCACTAGGATTTACATTTTTTTGCTATATAAATGAAAAAGTTCAAACATTTTTTTTTTTTTTTTTATATATATATATATATTTTTTTTTTTGTTTTCTTTTTTAACATACTGTCACCCTAGCAGTACTGTGCCACCATAGTGACACTGTACTACTTGTGGTGGGTGATGAAGATTTTTTTTTTTCTTTTTTTACACTGATTGCTTTTACACCCATAAAGACTGTAAAATCAATAATTTTTCCTTCTCTCTGGCTGCATTCCTGCAGCCATTGAGAAATACTGTGAGAGCTGTGATTGGTCACAGCTTGTCACATGGTACAAGGCTGTTGTGAATAGCCTTTTACCATGTGACCTCTGTGATCATTCACAGATTTCACACGTAGTAAGCAATGATGTCAGAAGTGACATCTTGCTTAATACTATTTATGTGATCACTGATTGGCCAAACAGGGATCACATGAATCGGGACCTTGCCCAGAGGTCCCGTACAGCGATATGTGTTCTGCTGTGTCCTCCAGACAGGCTAAGTAAACATTGTAACATAAATGTAAGATTCAGGTAGCTGAGATGTGAGGTGATCAGTAGAAATATGTAATCATAGGTCTAGTTTAATTCCAGGGTATTAAAGACAAGTGTTCAGTATTCAGTCAGAGGCAGATGTTCATTAGCATCTGAAAGGACAGAGCAGCTTCTAGGCTGGAGGTGACACCTAGATGTCAATAAAACGCTGTCACCTATGTAGCCAGACTTTGCCCCCTTCTTGAAGTCTGAAAGAAGAGCTCCAGCCATTGATTAGACACACTGTAGGCTACATCTGCGTGTAAAACTGTATTTGTAGAATAGCAGAGAAACACAGAAAACGGTTATATGGCGCCTGATTGCAACAGCTGATCAGCGATTGATACTGTCACGATCAGACTGATGCGCTGGTGTCGGAAATTCTATCCCTGACTTGGTGATTCAAACCGTTCCTGGTCCAATCAACTTTGGGCACTTCAGTACCCAGAACGTCCTGTGGGCTGGTACAGGAACACCTCCCAGTGTTGATTGGCCAAGGGCTAATGTCCAGCCCACGTCCATATTTCAATAAATTGAGGACCCTGAGATATGGATGGTGTGATTCGTACGGAGCCGGTTCTATTTGACTGGGGAATCGCGGACTTTCTCTGACTTGCTCCAGTCGCAGGATAACTCTTGGTAAAAGTTTTATTTCTGTTTTTATTCCCTTTTATTTTATAGTGAATAGCCAACTGTGTGTCTTTTTGTCTTTTCTGTATTATTTGTAACTCTTTATACTGTACATATTTTATGCACTGCCCACTTTCGGGATATTAAATCATAGAATTAATAAGTGACTTCTGGGTACTTAAGCTCGGGCTCAAATCTCCGGAGAGATTGTATTGTATTGCAGTGTCTATATATGCTTGGTCTATTTAATTGCCAATCTGTATGCAATTGCACTGCGTGTTGGCAGATTGCATGCAGATTGTGAAGTAGCAGATCTGCCAGACGGAGATCTGTGTGTGTGTGTGGTGGCGCAGCAGACCAGTCTGCGGATAAACTGTTGGGTGGTGGCAAGCTACCGTTTGTTGTGTATCTGGCATGGGGGTGTGTGGACAGTGAATGGGTGATTAACACCGGGGTTCTAGCTTGTAGGATAGCTGAATGAATCCTAGAAAGGTGTGCCAATTGCTAGACTGCCCCCCAACCCTTAGAGTGCACCAGATTGTATATATGATTCGTATCTGCCTGTGTGTGGTCAGCCAGCTGGATTGGAGTGGAGCCTCCCTCTAGTGGTGGCCAGAGGTAGTGTGGGCTGTGAAAGTGTATCACGGCCAGTCGTATATGTTAAAAGTAAGTCCCTCTCATTCCCTCTTTACCCCAAGTCATGGCCGGACATGCACGTCTCGGTTAGCTAGTCGCTGTGGGCATGTGTGTGGGTTTGAATCGTGACAAACATCCTTACTTTAAAAAATAAAGTAAATAATGGGAGGTTGTTGTTAATATATTTTTTGCTTGGTATACAAGCATCAAAAAACACGATAACCTTATCAAAGAACTTCTGTGCTAGTCTTATAATGGTTAAGGAAAGAAGATATAAAAATGCCACTTTGGTACAAAAGATATGTTATAAAGTAAAAAAACATGTACACTGAAGTTAAAAATAGTTTATATAGTCCTGTATAAAAAAAAAAACCAAATGAGTATATTTAATCCACAGATTGCTTGTGGTGAGCAGGGTTAGTATATACACTGCTCAGAAAAATTAAAGGTACACTTTGAAAACACATTATATCTCAATGGGGAAAAATATCATGCTGATATCTATATTGATATGGACTGGGTAATGTGTTAGGAATGTAAGGATGCCCCAGCGTATGATGGAAATGAAAATGATCAACCTAAAGAGGACTGAATTCAAAGACACCCCGAAAATCAAAGTGAAAAGAATGTTGCAGCACGCTGATCCATTTTGATGAAATTTCATTGCAGCAACTCAAAATGGTACTCAGTAGTTTGTATCGTCCCCCCATGCTTGTATACATGCCTGCTAATGTCGGGACATGCTCCTAGTGAGATGACGGATGGTGTCCTGGGGTGTTTCTTCCCAGATCTGGACCAGGGCATCACTGAGCTCCTGGACAGTCTGAGGTGCAACCTGGCGGAGTTGGATGGACTGAATCATGATATCTCAGAGGTGTTCTATTGGATTTAGGTCAGGTGAGCATGGGGGCCATTCAATAGTATAAATTCCTTCATCCTCCAGGAACTGCCTGCATACACTTTCCACATGACACCAGGCATTGTCATGCACCAGGAGGAACCCAGGACCAACTGCACCAGCGTAGGGTCTGACAGTGGGTCCAAGGATTTCATTCCGATTCCTAATGGCAGTCAGGGTACCATAGTCTAGCCCAGTGGTCGGCAAGCCGCGGCTCGCGAGCCACATGCGGCTCTTTACAAACTTAAATGCGGCTCTTCTGTGTGCCGGGCGCCCGCTCCCCTCCCTCCTCTCGGGCGGCCGCCCCAAAAGTCAGGACTCTGCAGCTGTCAGGATGTAGGGGCGGGGCAGCCAGGATACTATATGGGGGATGACTTACTATGGGGGATGAATTACTATATGGGGGATGAATTACTATGGGGGATGAATTACTATAGGGGGGATGAATTACTATATGGGGGATGAATTACTATATGGGGGATGAATTACTATATGGGGGATGAATTACTATGGGGGGATGAATTACTATATGGGGGATGAATTACTATGGGGGATGAATTACTATATGGGGGATGAATTACTATGGGGGATGAATTACTATATAATTACTATATGGGGGATGAATTACTATATGGGGGATGAATTACTATAGGGGGATGAATTACTATAGGGGGGATGAATGAATTACTATGGGGGATGAATTACTATATGGGGGATGAATTACTATGGGGGATGAATTACTATATGGGGGGATGAATTACTATATGGGGGATGAATTACTATATGGGGGATGAATTACTATATGGGGGATGAATTACTATATGGGGGATGAATTACTATATGGGGGATGAATTACTATATGGGGGATGAATTACTATATGGGGGATGAATTACTATATGGGGGGATGAATTACTATGGGGGGATGAATTACTATATGGGGGATGAATTACTATAGGGGGGATGAATTACTATGGGGGGGATGAATTACTATATAGGGGGGATGAATTACTATATGGGGGATGAATTACTATATGGGGGATGAAATTACTATATGGGGGATGAATTACTATATGGGGGATGAATTACTATATGGGGGATGAATTACTATGGGGGGATGAATTACTATATGGGGGGGGATGAATTACTATGGGGGGAATTACTATATGGGGGATATTACTATATGGGGGATGAATTACTATATGGGGGATGAATTACTATGGGGG